CCAGGCTGGCCTAGAACTCACAGAGATCCGCCTGGCTCTGCCTCCCGAGTGCTGGGATTAAAGGCGTGCGCCACCACCGCCCGGCTAACAGAAGTATTTGTTATGAATAAGACTATTGTGGGTCATTAATTTGCTGCATAATTTTCAAACATATTTGCATATATTCAGTCAATTAAAATAGTTACTTTTCTCATCACCCCTAGGCTGTTCCTTTACCTGTTCTTTCCTTGTATGAAGTTTTTTCTCTAGCTTTTTTTTAATTTGTTATAAGCATTTCTCTTTAGGGAGAAAATAGGTCCCTTACATTTTTGTACAACTTACATCAGATGGCTTGCTATTGGAGTCTGTCTTTGGCAGGACATTTATGCAGCAAACAGCACTAAAGATCAGAGATCACACCTCTGGTGGAACAACACACAGAGATGGCCTGTTGCCTTCGTGGGATGGTAAGATTATCTGGTCTTTGGGTTCTTTCTTGGAATCCAGACCTCTTGAATGCTAGTTTCATCTGATGCTGTTTGCCATGTAGGAATCAGAGTTTAAGAACATGATCTCTGATCCAGAAGGCTAGCTCTGTCTTACCAGAATAGGTAAATCTGTGTCAGGACAAATTTTTAATTTTTAAGAGACTGAATTTTCCAATTCTTCAAATTTTTTGAAATCCCAGCCTCTGATATGGATACAATATTAAGATTGTTTATTCTTCAATGTGTTAACTTATACTCATTTCATTTTGCTGTTGTTGGGAAAGAATTCTTAAAGATGTTATCCACTGTATCTCACACATTTCCCATGTGTATAAACATATCAGCATTATAAAGGAAAAACTATTCTTAAAATAAAAAATAGCTCTCTTTCACCGCACCACAAAACTTGTGATTTACTGCATGAGTAGCCTTGTTTCGTTTCTAGGAAATGAGGGCTTCCTGTTCTTAGGGTAGTTCCAGCAGCTGTACAGCATCATTCAGTAATAATGTTTGGTGTTAACTCTACCACTGATTTATTGTTTTTCTACTTTTAAATAATTGGACATCTTGAGAAACAGAATTTATGAAAAATACTGCAACTTCTTAAAAGGTTCACATAACAAGGCACCTTTTAACACATTTTTATTATTATTGTGCCAGGAGAATCATGGGAACAACGTCCTCTAAAAGGAGCCTGGAAGAGGAAAGATCCAAAGATCTAATCCTCCTGTTTGTGCATGTATTGTGTGTATGTATGGTGTGTGTGTAGTGTGTGTGTTGTGTGTATGTGGTGTCTGTGTGTATGTGTGTGGTGTTTGTCTGTGCATGCATTTTGTATGTGTGCGTGGTCTCTGTGTGTGTGTTGTGTGATGTATGTGCATGTGGGGTGTGTATAGTGTGTGGTGTGTGTATGGTGTGTGTGTTCAGGTGTGGTGTGTGTAGTGTGTGTACTGTGTGTGTGCATGCATATATGCTGTGTGTGTGTGTTGTGTATGTGTAGTGTGTGTGTGCGTGCACGTGTATGTGGTATATGTGTTTGCGTATGCATGTGCACGTGTGCGTGTGCGTGTGCGCGTGCGCGCGCGCGTGTGTGTGTGTGTGTGTGTGTGTGTGTGTGTGTGTGTGTTGATGTTAGGATCTCAGACACCAGAGAGCTTTGGGGAAGAAAATGATTGAGATCCCAGGACAAAGTTTGGAAAGTACTGGAAACACACCCAGCAAAGTATATTGAGAGTAGGTCTGGCTCCAGGAGTACAAGTTCTCTCTGAGTACATTGCAAGGGTAGAACCTAAATCTAGTTCTCACCACAATTTCTCAGGATCCCAGGGAAAGACACTAACTTAATGGTAGCAGTCTCTTCCTTTGGGGGAGGACAAGCACTTCTCACTTGACAAGCTAGCTTTCATTGTGAGGAGATACTTAGGTCTTTGGATGTAAATTTAAAGACTTTTAATCATTGAATTGAGGTATAGTATACTTTTTTGTTCTATGCCACGGAGGCTGAGTAGTGAAGGGTTGTCTACTCAGAAAACTGTATGTGTGAAAGACTCGTGTGCAGTATGGGAAGGCCCTGCTACAGCAGGTAAAGGCCACATTCTACTCTCTTAATGAAGACTCAGGTTCATGGGTATTGTGAGTTTGGTCTGTTGAGTCGATTGAGTCAAATGAAAGCAAATAGGAATCACATGAGCTAAGGGGTTAGGCTGACTGATAGTGAAAATTCCCACAAGGCTCAGCGACTTTTGTATTTCTGTCCTGTCCTCTCATCTATCTGTTCTTCTTGCTTATTATTAATTAATTAATCTATCTATCTATCTGTCTATCTATCTATCTATCTATCTATCTATCTATCTATCTATCTATCTATCTATCTATCTATCTATACATTCATTCCTGGTGCTGAAACCTTAACCAAAATCTTACACATGCTCAACAGGAATTCTATAACTAAACTCCACCTTAGCCCCTTTTCTACATTTTTCTCTGTGAGTTTTTAAAAATACTCAATATTCTGTAGTTTATGTTATAACATACATCTCTGATTTGTTATGCTACTTTATTTTACATATTTGAAATTGTATGTATTTTGTATTTCTTTTTTATTTATGAACATAATTACATTTATTGACACTATATTTTTTAGATTATAATTATATTTCTCCTTTTACCTTCTTCCCTCCAAGACCCCTCTTACATTCCTCCCGACTCACTTTCAAATTCATGTGCCCCTTTTAAGTAAATTGTTATTGCATGCACGTGTGTATATGTATATAGATACATATTCCTAAATATAACTTGCTAAGTCCCCACACATAAGACTCAGGAAACATTGCAGAAGATGAGGTGGAAAGATTGGAAGAGCCAGAGAATCAGGGAGTTTACTATGAAATTGTATGTGCTAGCAATAACAGAAGCTATAACGATAGTCTTACTAATATGACTGTCCAAACATGAATTGATCAAAGATGACACCAATGGCCACAATAAACTGGACTGTAAAAAGCCCATGAGACCTCAATGCCCCACAAAGACTCATGGACAACTAAGGAAATTGGGGAGTAGGAGAAGTGGGGAGTAGGAAATAACATGCCAGTTAGTTCCCAAATGATCAACACTGAAAAAACATGCATACTAATAACATTATACAGATTGTGTGTGTGTGTGTGTGTGTGTGTGTGTGTGTGTGTGTGTGTGTGAGAGAGAGAGAGAGAGAGAGAGAGAGAGTTAGTTTAGCCACTTAGGAATGTATAGTGTCTGCATATTAACTGGGAATAATAAAATTTATGAATTCATTGATATTATACTGAGGTATCTCAACAAAGAAAATGGAGATAGCAATGTTTACTCTGCTTTCAGAATAGATTTCTCTCTTAGAAGCATACTCATGGACCATGACCTCAGAGTTGGGCAATAGTTCTAAATACACTGAAGAAAACTAGTCAATATTGCCAGTGATTAATGAATCCCAGTAAAGTAAAATACCTAGATGAAATAAAGAATTAAAAATGACCCCGCTTAATTGGTACTTCTGGGAAATCCAGGTATATGTCTGATGTCACTGAAGGACCAGTGCCAATTGCTAGATATTCTCATCTATGTCTTTTTCTTTTCTGTGAGCCAGAAATATATAGTATTTTTAATGCTCTTTGTGTATGACATTAAATCAGAAAGCAGTGTCTTGGCTTGATGTTTGAGAGAAAGAGCAAAGAGCATTCTGCTTTGGGAATTCTGATGCTGATGCTGATAAAGTGCGTATCCATGGCATTCGGACACTGTGTCTGGAGAATACACAGCAAAGGTCCATCTCAATAGATGCAACTTTGTTTTGAGAAACTTTTGCTTGTTCTTTGATTTTTATTGATAACTTGTCATTTATATTTATTTTATGAGGCCTCAACTCATAACTACTATTGGTAAGGAATTTTCAGCAACAATGGGCAACTTATACTAAGAGTAAACAACCTTTGCTAATCAACTTGTATAATTCTAACAAACAAAACAACAAGAAAGATAAATGAAATTTAAGAAGGCCTAAGTGTTTGGATCTGACCCAAAATGACCATTAAAATTGTAAATTTCCCCATTAACTTGATAACAATATAAGCCACTTTGTATATTGATGGAAATGTCAACATAATTCTAAGGAATAACATCCTTTGCAAATGGCCTTTGCTATCTTGATTCCAGCTTTTATGGGCTTGAGTATATTTTTAATTTGGGGCGATGAGTTGAAAGATGGTGCTGAATTGATGGATAATCCACGTCTCAGAGATTCTTCCACACCTACAATGGCTAAAACACTTCCTTTCTTCAGCATATTTTGCTCCTGTAAAATAATAAATACAGTAGCAGCATAGTTTAAATCAGCCTTTGTTGTGTTGGCACAATAATGGACACATGACTGCCTCTGTTGCACTTTTTGACCATTTTGGGATAGTGGCCTTTCAACACACTAATGAGGATGGTTGGGGTGAACATTTGGCTTGGTATCAGCTGAATCTAGTGAGTTAACCTGTTTCTCTATAAGAGCTGCTCATGTCAATATTGCTAATAACTTCTATATACCAATTGGCAGTTCTCTTGTCTACATGGAGGTGATGAAAATGCACTATGAAAAGTCACTTTGCTTTCTGAAGGCTCCACTTTAACCCCAAGTTCAATTCTTCTCATATCATGTGCTCACTTTATCATCCACAGATGCAGACAGCTTTTGGTGAAGTACTTGTCACCTCGTTCACTGTGTCTCTTCTTCAAGAAAATGTAAAGATGGTGTGCCTTGAGGACACTCAGAAAAATATCAGGTTTGAGTTCATTTATCTTTGGATATATCATTTTTGTTTTCCCTCATTTTATTGTAAAAGAAAAAGATAGTGTTATAAATTGTACAACACTTTCGTTTTGAAAAATTTCAAATCTATTGACTCGTTGAAACAAACATACACTGAACCCATCATATAAATTCATCAGTTGTGATCTTAGCATATTTACTTTTCTTTCTTGCAGCATCTTTATAGTTTCATTTCTTTTTTTTTTCAAGACAGGGTTTCTCTGTGTAGTTTTGGTGCCTGTCCTGGATCTCACTCTGTAGACCAGGCTGGACTCGAACTCACAGAGATCTGCCTGGCTCTGCCTCTCAAGTGCTGGGCATGCACCACCACTGCCTGGCTACAGTTTTATTTCTATTATCAATCCATCTTCTATCTAGTATATATGTATGTATGAATGTATGCATGCACCCATCTATCAGTGTATCTTTATCTGTATTATACATACAGGCACTACACAAACAAGGTTGTTTTATGGCACCCAATGTGGGGCTCAAACCCATGACCCTGAGATTAAGAGTCAGAGATGGTGAGGTAAGAGGTAGTGGCTGTGGCTTGCTCTGCTTCTCTGATCTTTCAGCTTTTACCCCAATATCTGGTTCCACGTTTTGTATTAAAAGACCTATTAGAATTCTTATTACAGTTTTATCTTGTGTGTGTCTTAGACATTTACCTGATCTTGAGACTCTTTTCCTCCCATTGGGTAGCCTTATCCAGCCTCATGGGTAGCCTTATCCAGCCTCGACATGAGGCTTTTGTCTTGTCTCGTCTCATTGTATCATTGTTTCGTCTCATTGTATCATTGTTTCGTGCTTTGTTGAGTTTGGATGTTGTCTCTTGCAAGCCTGCTCCTTTTTGAAACTCTATCTGGGGAAGAGTGGAGGTTGGTTGGGGGAGGCCTAGAAGGAATAAAGTGAGAGGAAACTGTGGTTGGAATGTATTATATGAGAGAAGACTATTTTCAATTAAATAAAAAAATCATAACATTAAAAAATTTTACATGTAAGAAAATTTGCACTAATTTATTTACATTGCCTAATATATACAATTATTCAAATGTATTTCCCAACTTTTTTATTCTTTTCTTTGTGGTGTGTGTGTGTGTGTGTGTGTGTGTGTGTGTGCATGTTAGCACTTGTCGATGGGGAATGGTTTTGTTTGTTTATATGGTGGCATAATTTGGTTTATTTTTAACCTAATAATGAAGCTGTGAACAACTCAGAATATCTTCCATTCTGCATTCCTTCACTGTGACTTTGCATTTAGAGGAAAATAAAAATGTTTCTGGTAAATATGGCACATATGTGATACTGTGTGTTTGTTAGGTCAGGGCGGTTGGGGCCCCGAGGGCCCCATGTTTTTTCATACATGACAATGGCAATGTTACCTTTGATGGCTTGGTTACAGTTGACTGCCACATATGCCCGCAATATAGACATGCAGTTTAATGTGATATAATATAGATGCATGCATGTGCATTTGTGTGTGCCTCTGTGTGTGTTTGTACATATTTGGAGAGTTATTGACTTGCAGCAGCACAAGCACACTATTTTTGAAAACTTTTAACAAGCACATTTTCTAATTAGTCTCTGTGAAAATCAGCTGTCTTTACGAGTTGCCAAATGGCAGTATGTTCTCTACTTCTTATTTATTAGCTTCCTTTCTTCTGAAATATATGCTTTTCATCTATTTTTATTAATTATTTACATCTTGAGAATTTCATACAGTGCATTTGACCTTAATTATGCACCCACTCCCCTTGCCTGGGACCTGAATCCTATTCCCTCCCACCTCCCTGATGTGTTAGCCATATATTATGGTGTTATAAGTAGTCTAAGAACTTAAACTTTTAGACATATAAAAGTTTTAGCTATATAAATTGTTAGAAACACCTAATCATGTGTTGGTACAAATCAAAGATATATTATGTGAAAACATTACACTCATTTCAACTTATACAAATACAACTTTTCTTTGTTTCATTTCAAAGCAACATTTGTAAAAACTAGATACAAATAAACTTGACTGTGCCTTAATTTCCAATTTGTTATTTAATGTGAGATGTGTACCTGCAAAAGTGAGTCACTCATTCTCTTGGTCTAATTGTTGTGAGTTCCTACTTTTACCGAGGCACTGTGTGAGCTCTGAAAAATTTCTGCAACCCTTTATGGAACAGAAAGTCTCTCTCTCTCTCTCTCTCTCTCTCTCTCTCTCTATCACACACACACACACACACACACACACACACACACACACACACACACACGCAAAACAAATTCTCCCCTCACACACAAACACACAAACACAGACACACCTACTTTTCCCAAAGAGTGGCATGGGCTGAAGGACAAACATTAATTTCTTTTCTCCTGGCTGCAGGTGATCTCGTTACTTTCACTCATTAGAATACATTTTTGACAGGTGTGTAGCTTGGTTTCTTCATAAGGCTCCCAGTAGTGAGATCAGGACCTGTCCCTGGCACTTATGGAGCCTGAGTAGGAGTGGAAGGTGAGGAGGGTAGATGTAGGAGAGGGGGTCCAGAAGGAGTGACTAGGAGTAGAGGAGGGAGGGGAAACTGCAGTAAGTTTGTAAAATAAATTTAAAAAAATGTTATTTAAATAAAATAAAATAAAAATGAAATCTTATTTATGGAACTTAATGAAGTTGTAACATTAGGAGCACCCAAGGGGACCTCGGTGAGTTAAGTTGGCACATAAACACATGTCTCAGGATTTGAGGCCAGTGCACACACGTGAAAGAGAACAGGTGGCATTTGCCTTTCTGGGTTTGAGCTGCCTTACACTGAAGTATTGTTTCTGGCTCAATCCATTTACCCAAGAGTTTCAGATTCTTTAGCAAGCAGGCAACTGGACACAGACTTCCATTGCTCATCCTACTTTCAGTCATTTTTTTCCTTTAGTGAAAATATGTATTTTTTATACAGTATATTCTGATAACAGTTTCCTTTCTCCTAGCTCCCCCAGGTTCCACAAAGCCTTGTTTCTTTGATATTTCTATCCAAACAGATTGATTTAGGCAAGAGATGCTGTTGGCTCCTGAAAACCTATAGCTAACTAGTTAAATGACATGTGACCTTGACTATACAGATGAGGGAAACTCCCACACTCTAAATTAGCACTTTTGCCAGAAACTGTTAAATATTTACTGTGAAAATTATGCCTGAAAACTTTCAAGTCACCCCTTCTCTCGACTGGTGGTTGAAAGTTTGCAAGGAATGTCACCAACCAATTCCACCACTGTGATAGCTCTCTTCTGAGTTGAACAGACCTTTTCTTTGTCTGAAATTGAGACCTCTCTTTCAATCAAAACTAAAATCAATATACATGGAGTTTTTCTCTTGGGTCTAACTGAGTAATATTAGAGATGAATCTTCTCACCTCCCCCAGGATGATCCCTAAAATCCTGTTGATCTCCATTGATGCAGTGTAGCAATGACTTTTTTCATTTCACAAAGGCCAAATTGCATCTGTTTCCTGTGTAAAGTACCATTACAAAAATGTAAGTTAGTAGAGACAATGGTGTGATTCATCTTAAAGTCTGAGGAGTTACAACATGTTTAGCAGAAACAGAAGATGGCTGGTAGCACTTCCTCTGCACACAGGAAGTAGTAGAGAGAAAACAGGAAGTGAAGAAAGGCTACATAAAACCCCTGACAACCATCACCTACTGGTATACTTCCTTCAGTAAGCCTCCATATCATAAAGATTCAATAACTTCTCCAAACATATCTCCAATTGGGGACCAAATTGTTCAAATATAAGATTATATACATGGAGACATTTCCCTTTCAAACCACCATACATTTAAACCTCTCCCCAGTGACAGAACTTTGGTTTACTTGGAACATCTGATCTGATCTTAAGTCATCAATGTGGCCACAGATTCATAGCTTTTAAGAATTAGAGTCTACTTTTCTTCCAAACATTGCCTCATTCTTATCAGGAAAACAACAGACTATCTTCATTTTTTTTTCCCATCAAATGTTCTTGTTATCATGTTTGCAGCTATGATTAAATTGGCATTGAAAGAGACCCTTTTCCATTTCTTTCTTTATTTTTTCTTTTGAGGAGACTACACCAGTAATCCTGGCTGGCATTACAGGCTCATGTTTTTGAGCACATTCATCTATCATAGAGTGACTCACTTTGCTGTTTTTGTTTCCACTTGATTCTGAAAAGCACCGGCAGAAACATTACAAGAATTCAGGTTTGCAGCAAATAAATTCTCAGGCCAGGCCTGTTCTGTGTTTCCACAGCCAATCTATCCTACACAACATCATCTTTGAACAATACAGAGTCACAGCTAGAGATAAAAGAATGAGCTCAGAGAAAGCACAACTTTCCACCATTCCAAATATTCACTGCACATTTAATCTGAAGCCACACATTCTAAAAGAAATTTATTGAAAGCCTTTACTCAGGTTCTGCAATGGGGAAGTCTAAAAACCTGGTACTTTGGTCTTTGTTTGTTTGCTTTTCCTACTTCCTTTATTTAAATTCTTAAGCCTCTGGGTATTTTGTTTATAAAAAGGGTTTTTTACTTTCCATTTTTTATATGCTTTCTTAACCATTTGTGGTTTTACATGGAGAACAGATGGTTTTTTAAACAAGTTTGCAGGAAAAGCAGATCTTTGTGTAACACTCTATGAACTATAATAAAATGAGAACTTACTGTTGATACATTTGAAGCAGATTGACCACTGATATTCACTCATTTGACACACTTGAGACATGAAGCCCATAGCAAACAGAAAACGTATGCAAGTGATGACAGAAGACCTACTTTGTGAGCAAAGGGTGTCTTCATGGGAAACTGAGTGTTCTCAGTCTTAGAGGACCTGCACAATTTCTGCCAGCCATAGGTCCTCTTGAACCCTAACATATAAACAACACGCACAAAAAGGTAGCTTTTCTATTTAAAGTGTGAAAAGAAGAGATTTGGGTGGCAGGTTCTCCAACACAGAACTCCCTCTAGATGTGAGCTCCCTCCGGATGTGAGCTCCCACAGTTGAGCCCCTAATACTATCTTCCAGAAGTTCAGCCTCAAATTTTTCCTACCAGAAGACGGAGTGCAGAAGACATGAATAGAGACACAGGCAGGAAAATCACCTTTCCATCCTTGTCGCTATCCCTTGCCAAAAGTCTGTTCCTTCAGTCTTTAGAACTGTTTCTTGGACCTTTAGTGGCCACACAGATGGGTGAGAGATGACAAGAATCAAGTACAGACTCGAACTGAGTTTTGCTGGAGCTCTTGGATCCTATTTCAGGTTGGATGAAAAGGTTGTCTCCCTTTTCCCATTATATTTAAAAAAGGTGTCAGTGAACAAGTGAAAAGTCTAGATTCTTTTTCACCCCACTTAGTTTTTCCATACTTTATGGATAATCGAAACTTAAGAAAAACACTAGCCAGTCTTCCTTCAAAATTGTTGAGTCTTTTCCTGGTAAAGTTAGTTGAAGTGAGAATATGTACTTAAATTCTAAATGTAGACTTTATTGGTCCAGTGGGAATAATGTAATTTATTCTATTTTCTCATTCTTTATGTGCTTGAATAAGGACCATTTAAAATTTCCCTCATATGATCAGAAATAACAGAGCCGCAGATTGCTTGTTGAAAATTTACAGGCATAATATATTCTCAAATGAGTGACATAATTTTTATTTCTGTGGAATAACACAAAGGGGATCATAAAACATAAAGCTCTTTAATAGTGAACCACATGAGAGAAGACAAGTTGAGTTTCTCATCACTGAGTGTAAAGAGCCAGTAGACTTGGGCCACTGACGTAATGTGTGTGCCTGTGTGTATAATGAGCCAATAGACATGGATCAATGGTACAATATGTGGAGTTGTATGTGTGTGTATTCACCTGTGTATGTGTATGCATGTGTGTGCTATTTCCTTATTTAAAAGAATGCAAGGCAGTAGATTTTTGAGCCTGTAGTCAGAATATTTGACTGATTTTTAAAAATATTTTTGAGAACTTCATACATGCATACAATGCTTTTTTTCTTTTTTTTTTTTATGAAATACATCCTCCACTACCCCCACACCCTACTTCATGTGCTCACATGCTCACTGAGTCCACTTAGTGCTTCCAGTGAATGCATGGGTGCAGGGCCATCTACTGGAGTACGGGCAGAGTGTCCAAGGTGGCATTCCTCTTTTTATTGTCAATTTAATATATGAACCCTGGTCAATGCAGTTGGCAAATTAAACTCATTCATTTCACAGCCTGCCATGAAATAAACACCGTGGAACTTCCATCCGTACTAAACAGCTGTAGAAAGTAGAATGTCAACTTCAACGACTCTACATACAACTGCAGTGATTCAGAATAATCACCATGCTAATTTCTGAGCTTTGTCACACACCTAGAATAAAAAAATAAAAAAAAAATAAAAAAATAAAAAAATCCCAGAACTTCCTTCAATAACTTTTAGGGAAAATAAATTTCATTTTGTAAAAATGTAAGCTAATTGAACTTCACCGAGTTTTGCATACACTTCATGTTCAGTGTGTAAGCATGATGTTGATTTAACAGTCATTAGATTATTTTTTATATAAATGTGGTAGGCATACCTACTCTCTAACAAGACTAATGCATCCCTGTCTTGATATCTCTCTAATTTTGGGTCAGCTTTGGCTTTTTATGCCACTTGAAGACCATTTAGTTACTGATACCTAAGCTTGCCCCCAAATCAAGTGGTTTTCCATGAAATTTATTTATAATTGAGAACCAAAAGATGTTACTTAGTATATAATTGTTGATGTTTTTAAACAAACAAATTAGCAGAGAGATTTTTAAAGCCTCAAATATTTTCAGTTTTCTGATTTGGTTACATGAAAATTTCAATATTATTTCCAAAATAAATTTAATCAGGAACAGACATTTGATTCTTCAAAAAGACTGTGCTAACATATGCAAAAGTCCATTTAGTAAAACATATTTTAACTGGAATTGCAATTAGTCATAAGGGGACCATCATTTTAGTGGAAAATATAATCCAACACAGCTAAGCATTAAGTGCTGAAGTTGTTCTTACCCTTTGCAAATTCTTACTGCATGATCTCACTCTCCATATATTTTGAATGCATATTTTCAGGGAAATTATTTTGTGCTTGATATAAAATTCTAGCAATTAGATGCAAAAATGGCATAAAGAAACATTAAAGTTGCCAGTGTAAACACAGGAAAGAAAACTAGTGGGAGAGTTAGTGTTCTGAAAAGCCACCTTAAGTAGCACACATGGCCAATATTAGCCTGCTAGGCACATTGGCAAATGCTCATCCACTCCCAGTGAGGAGCCAGGAATGGAGTCTGAAACATGGCGTGCATTAACCTTGTGGTGAAATAATGTGATTCTAAGATACAGTTTTCAGCCTTCATAATGGAGAAAGGTTTGCCAAAATTATGAGGAAGATCAATGTGCTCAGATAATCCTCTAAGATGTGAATATCATGGAGTTGATCCAAGGTGTGTTTCAGGCACTCATATTATGCAGGACTGAAAATTGATAGTTGCCATTTCCAGGTCTACAGAAATTTCAAATTTGTTTTCTTTATTACAAATACGTAAGCTGATAATGAAAGGAATTAAACACACACACACACACTCACACACACACACAAAATGGATAAAATGCTAACTCCACTGCACTGCACACTTTTTCTTCTTTTGACTACTTGTACATGCCGCACATTGAAGCCTAGAAGGATGTGAAACAGAATTTGTATGACTGGTTATCTTACTGTAACATCTGATTTCCTATCACCTTCAGATTCTGAGTTGTTCTTTCGATGTGCATTCTGAACTGAAATCCTCACAGCTGGATACCATTGTGCAAGATTCTCAGGTGCCAAGTCTTTCTTCAAGAGGTTGGAGTGAAGGTAATAGGTGAACACAAGGTGTTTTACGTGAGGCTAGATAGAATAATTCTAAAAGAGAGGCATTGTAAATATCATTTTATTACCTAATAATTTTCCAGAGAATTTTTTAATTGGAATTTTAATTTTTTTGAGAATTTAATTTATGAATACTGTATTTACATCCTTTTTCACTCCTTCCTCTCCCCTGTAACTTCCATGGGCTTCCTCCACCCTCTCACAAATTTAAGGCCTCTTCTAGAAGAATTATTGTCACACGTGCATTCACACACACCCTATTGAATCCATTCACTGTTGCTTATATAAACATCTATTTGAGGTTGACCATTTGAGACTGAATGACCTATCTGGTGGCTCATCCATGGTTACAACTGATTCTTCCTCTCCTAGCAACCCTTGATTGTTTGTAGTTCTTCATCTAGGGGTGGGGCCTTGTAAAATTTCCCTGTGCACATTAACATGTTGACTGGTGTGGTCATTCTGTAGGTGATTTGTGGGCACACAGTCATATTGCTGAGCTATCATGGGCAGAGCCTTCCTGTCATACCTAGAAGATGTTAGCTCAAAACTGGTATCCTGGTTTTCTGGCTCTTATGAAACCACCTCCCTAATTTCACAAAGCTCCTTGA